TGAAAAGTATAAGAGGCCTCTATTTATCTCTTAACCTGCAACCTCACCTCTTATGAATGCTTCCTTCCATTAACCCTTGAGTGAGTCACGCTGATGCTTGATGATAATCCTCTGGTGGACATGCTTCTCCTCCCAGAATGAGTGTTGACATGAAGTTTCCAGATCCCCTACAGCCAGACCAGTGATCCCAAATTTTAACCACATTGGATCCTGCCCATACATCCTGCCTCTGGCTCAACACCCACCTTTACGCCCACAGTATGAAGCTGTGACCACAGAGGCAGATACTTGCAGGGTGGTCCTCTGAGCATACCCTCAGGGCAAGAGACATGAAATATTTATTGACTGCAGGCCAACGTTACAGGCACGCTGTCTGAAACCACTGCAAGGGTACCTCTGGAGCACTGAAGGTAGACAGCAACATTTGCCAAACCCCTCTCATTTGTCCTGGGGGCTGTTCGTTTGCACTAATCTAGCAGCCCCAAAAGCAGCAGCTGTTCTCAAAGGGGTCTGATGTACTCCTTTGTTTAAGAGGAACAGTGGGGAGTAGTGTTTTAATTTTTTTTAAGTGCTAAATTGTTAACAATTTTCCAGCTTCCTGCAAACAGGTAGAAAGACAGCTGAAAAGCTAGGGCGGACTCAGGGCCACATTCGTTCCTTCATTGTGTAATCCACACACTTGTTCTAGCCTGTGTACATCTTTGTCTTGGGAAATAAATCAGACTCTGGCAAGCACAAGTCAGTGTTTCCCATTTTTGAGCAATCCCGAAATGAGATGGTCACTGACCTTCCAATCTTAGCTATCAAGCGAGGGTTGCTCATAGACCATTGAAATTTGAGGTCTCCCTAGAAAAGCCTACATTCCATTTTCATATGTTCTATCAGACTCCTAATTATCTTATTACGAACATAGAATAATCTTCATCTTTGTCAATAACCAGTGGAAAGCATCCTATAAATTCTCAAAGAGAGAGCCAAAGAAATTGGTGAAATACGTCCAAATTGTGTAATATAACCTATAGCTTAAGCTTTTGAATCCATTGTGGTAAGTAGTACTGTAATGTATTAAATTCCTTTAACAAGAATAAGTGCCATTTAACTGAGAACTGGATATAATGCACAGAAGATATGACTCATTGCTCTGATAATATAAGCAAGAATATAAGTTTCCCCCGTCCACACACACACACAGGTCCTTTATTTTAGTTTTAGCCCTGGAATCCAGAACAATGCCAGCGTACTGTAAGGGGTTAAATGAACATTGAATGTTTTTATTAGAGATGTTTTAGAGATTAGAGATTTCTGCCATAAATTATTAGCGACCAAGAAATCATTATTCTTTTAGTTTGAGTATGTAAGCTCCTTTGGACTGGGGAGTTTGCTAGAGTTGATTTTCGCATCATTAAACATTAAACTCCCTTGACTGGTAGAGAGATCTTGTGGTCTGTGCTCTGGGCCAGCAAGCTGGGATGTGTGTCTCCTTCTCCTTTGGTCTCTTGCTCTCCAGGTAGTAAAGGCTAAGAATCTCAGACATGATTTCTAAAGTGAAAACTGACTCTCTCGGAGCTGACCCAATTTTATTATCCAGTGAAACAACTAATGTGGCAACGCCAATGGGCATGACTTTCCCTCCTAATCCTAATTGACAAGTACTGCAGGTCTCAGGGGGGGATAGTGGTCGTGGCTATGACTGCTATTCTGCTATTCTATCATTATTTTAAAACATGTTTTCACCTCTTTGTAATGCATCCTTTATGCACAAAAAAGAATAGGCTGAGAACATACAACTTTCATGCTACTTTTTGTTTCTAAAATTTAAACTTATTCTGTCCTATGCTTCATTAGGATGTGACCATTAGGGAGGTCTTTGTATACCCTTCTGGTCCATTTAATATTCTAGGAGGCAGTTACACCTACTCTCTGGGGCCCGTTATTGAGGAGAATGTAGGACAACCAGCAAACTTTAAAATGTAAATATATAACCTGTGTCAAACTATGGAAACAGGTTACGGAAAACACACATCCTACAAAGAGAACCCTATGGTAAAATGAAATATTGCTGTGGAAGCAGAGACATAATTGCACTCCAGAGAGTAAAAAACATTGGGTTCCCTCCTCAGCAGAAATTTACCTCTTTTTATGAAAATCTGATGAATTTCTGGGTTTCCCACAGAGAAAACAACAGAGAATTTAATGAGAAACACATTGGAACCAGACCTGTCACACAGTGATTATGTATTCGCTAATCTCTCTGTAGGGTACAGAGAAAGTCAGTCTTCTCTGAGAGAGTTTATCTGAGTTAAGAGAAAAAACACATCTAGAAACAAATTACCAAAAACAAATGTCTTCACTCTCCCACTGATACCTACTGACATCTCACCGGACTGCTTGTTTGGCCTCCAAATAGCAAAACATCAGGATTTGCACAGCAACATATTTGTAGGCTTACCAATGAAACTGAAGTTTCATACAATGAGTAATTCATTGTTACTTAAATGCAGCTTGCAAGTGCATATTTTTAGTTTGGACTCAGGATTTGTGTTTGAGAAGTACAAGTACAGTGAGAGGTGTAGCAGGGGTTCTTACTCTTGTAGGAGTATGTAACATTTCCTACGTCACATGAACTTCTGTCGTCATTACCTTCATCAAATCTCAGTACCTGTATTCATCCTACAAGCATTTTTGAGCACCTGACATGTGCCAGGAACCTATATGTAAACGCAATTATATACCAAGTTCTGGAATAAGTAGAATATCTCATAAGCTTCACGAAGTCATTAAGTCAGAGGGACATGTCATTCAAAATTGCTATCAGCTGAGAGCATTTCCTAAGTTCTTTTTATTAGCCTGAACTTGGGTTGGGCAATGTGCAAATGAGGGCAGATATATTTCCTCCAGAAGTTCAAACCCAGAGTGTACACTGATGTTAACATTCACAAAAGAACATGCTGAACAAGTATTGAGCAAATAAAGGAATGTCTCACTAGTTTAGTGCTTTGTGCAAAGCAGGATCTCAGATTATGTTTACAGAATAATTGGGAAAGTAAGGGAATGATGAGGGAAGTTATGTCATGAGCTATATTTATTTGGAGGAGTTGTGTCAAGATGAGATTACATCATGAATTTCTAGAAGGCTTCATGGAGAAAGTGGGATCTTAGTCAAAACAGGTATGTTCAAAAATTACATGTTTAATGAGGTCCTAAAACTATTGATTATCAACGAACGGTGATACTACTCTGACCATTCCCCTATGGATTAATTCAAATTTGCAAAATCCATAAAATGCATACCCAAAGTTGATCCCCATTTTGTAAATCTCTTGATCTAATCTCACACTTTGTTATTTATTTTTTAAGTCAAAGCCAAGGCTTTTCAAAAATATCTATGTTTGGGGCATCTGGGTGGCTCAGTTGGTTGAGCCTCTGCCTTTGGCTCAGGTCATGATCCTGAGGTCCTGGAATCGAGCCCTGAGTTGGCTCCCTGCTTGGCTCCCTCCAGCGAGGAGTCTGCTTCTCCCTCTCCCTCTGCCCCTCACCTCACTCATGCTTGATCTCTCTCTCTCTCTCAAAATAAAATATTAAGAAATAAAAAGTATCTATTTTTATCACCTTACTGACATTTTTTTTCATGTGGTTTTCTGGTATAATCTGGACATAGATTTTTAGTTTTATCTGAGAAGGAACCATGTCCTTTTTTTCCTACCTCAACGTTTTAAGACTCATCCAACCAATGATGACAAAGCTGGAAATGATGTTAAAGATCATATGATGGACAAGGCCTAGAGAGTGACTTGTGGTAAATATATGGCAGAGTCAGAAAAAAAGATAATTTAATAAATAAAAAGTAAGAGCTCTTGATTTCTAATCCACTATTTTTACTACATAAAATTACATACTGATGGATGATTTGTAGGTCAATTGTCTCGTGGTATATCTGAATGTTTGTGGTTCTTAAATGTAAAAGTGCCTGTATCAACTCAGCTGGGGTTGGGTTCTCCTCCCTTCCCTCACCTGAGACTTTCCAACAGGCAAAGTCAGATGGAGGAGCTAAGTCTTTTCTTTGACTAATAAATTATATGATAATCTTATCTCAAAAACTGGTTAGTACAATTGGACTGACTACTAAAAGAAAAAAGCTGATGAGTCATGTTTATTTAGCCAGAAGTTTCCTTCTCTCAAAACTTTTAAAAAAGATCAATGGCTTAAAAATAGATTTCATATGATCAAAATTTAGATGTAGCAATGAAATAAATCTTAAAGGAAATGTAGAACTCCTTTGATAAATTATTTTTGTTTGTCTCTCAATGCAGCCATGCCAGCAATATTTTTATTTTTAAAATTAACTGTACAGGGGAGCCGGGGTGGCTTAGTCAGTTAAGTGTCTGCCTTCGGCTGAGGTCATGATCCCATGGTCCTGTTCAGTGGGGAGTCTGCTTCTCCCTCTCTCTCCGTCTGCCTCTCTTTCTCTCTCTCTCTCTTAAATAAATACATAAATAAATAATATTTAAAAAGTTAAATGTACAAGCAATTTTCTGCAACTGTAAAAGTGGTGCCATAATTCAAGGTTTCAGTTTGTGCAATATTTTCATTTTGTTATTTTTTAATTTTTTTTAATTTTTATTTATTTATGATAGTCACACAGAGAGAGAGAGAGAGAGAGAGAGGCAGAGACACAGGCAGAGGGAGAAGCAGGCTCCATGCACCGGGAGCCCGACGTGGGATTCGATCCCGGGTCTCCAGGATCGCGCCCTGGGCCAAAGGCAGGCGCTAAACCGCTGCGCCACCCAGGGATCCCCTCATTTTGTTATTAAAAATGTGGGAAGTCACAGCTTAGTCTCTCTGTCTTTTGGAAGGGTAAAAAATGTTAATTTAAGAAAATCACTTAATTTTCTATTTCAAGATCAGTTTTATAGAAAATTTACCTACCAGATTTATGGTGTTTTATTTTCACTTTCAAGGAGCAAAGTCATCTAAAACAATAGAATTATTATATTCAGAAATAACTTTTGTCGTTATCCTTTATTGTCATCACATGGTTTTGAACTGCTGGCCCACTATAACTCAGCAAAAGAACGAAGATAATTTATATACACCCACACTCTCAAATTAGTTTCTTTAGAAGGAAGTGACAGTATCATTTGTGAAATAAAAACCACAGTGTTATTACATCTTATTGTTAACCTCTATTTGCCTCTATAGATGTTCCAAATAAAGAATATCTTAAATTAAATTAAACATAATATAATTAGTAAAACTGAACTGTCAATAGGAAGGTATTTGCCATCTCTCTTCTAGGCCCATTAGGTCCCTAAATTTTAATGCCAAATTACTGACGTTTTTAGATAAACATAATCATGATTAAACAACTTCATTTGATGTTAGGTGGGCCAAGTTACTTAAAAATCATCAAAAACAACATAAGCAAGGACCCCTCATCAAAAGTTCTAGGTAGTAGTAAGGAGTTATATTTATACATGTTTTCTGTACCTGAGTTCATTCAATTAATTAATTTAGGTAACTTTAAGCTTCAGTGAGCATTAATTAAATGTACTTGTGTATGGCCAGTAAACTGAAGATACGTGTAACTTAGATTTTTAAAAAAATTTTAGCTTGCCTTTAAATTTTGAAATTAATGAGTCCTGACTTGCATAACATATATTTAGTAACTATCCTACTTTGAGTTTCATATACTAATCAAATCAAACTAGGACTACAAGATAAGCTATTATTTTATGGTTTAAACTACCAGCAGCATTAGCCTAATATAATATATGCATTAATTTAGTTTGTTGTTAATCATCATTAATACCATCTTTTCCTTGCCCATTTAGGAACTCATGTCTACCATTCTGTTTTACAATCTTAATTTTTCCTGTGTACTAAGAACTTGATACATGGCGCACAATTCTTAACATATTAGAATAAACTAAAGGCTATTTTCAGCTTTGTACTGTGCATTTAGGTGATATGCCAGTTGGATAACAGTTGGACATATTTGTCTCCAAAACCTTATTTCATTTAACCCAAGAGAATTGTATAAAGAAAATTTTTGTAGTATTTCATTTTATATTTTTAAAAATCATGCATTAAATGCAAACAATGTTTAGTCAGATTATTGACTTTATAATAAAATATGATACTAGAGAATAGGCGTGATGTTTTTGCTGATTGGTGATTTCATATTATATGTGTATAGTTTGTTTCCATTTAAAAAAAAAAAGCAATCTGCGTAAGTAGTAGTTGGTTCAATTGTGATAAATTTCTACTGCACATTTATGCACCGAAATAAACCATACCTTAAAAAAGTTTGGCAGTATCTTTTAAAAGAAGCATCCTTAAATAGAAAACACAAGCTTTATGTGAACTCTTGTTCTTCCTGTGAAAGACATACTTCTAAGCTTTAACTGTACTTTTTTTTATTGGCACATTTCTGAACGTAAACACTTACATTTCATAGAACTTCATAGAAATGATTGCCCAAGAAAACATATAAATTATGTAAATTCTCTCAAGTTAAATTTTCCGTGATTCATGCCCAATATTCAGTATGTGGGTTGAGAATTAAGTGCCACTTTCAATGATCAAGTTCCCAAATTAAATTCCCCATACCGCCCGGCCAGCTTTTAAAAAAAATCTACATCAGAAAGTATGTATTCTAAAGGGCTGTCTATTCACTGGAACGATTACCTTTAGGATAGCAAACTCCAAGGGCACTAGTCTGAGTAATAAGAATATTTTTGACAACGGGACTCGATGTGCAGAGCTGTCGCACGATGCATCTCCTGCAGGTCTCCGTGTTTTTCTGCTAAGTGGGTTGCTACCCGTGGATCTATACAGTGGGGATAGCAGAGGGTCACACAAGAGGTATTTTAAAGCACTCTGGTTTCATAGTGTGTGCTTGATGGACAGAATAAAATGTATTTCTCCAGCTGTTCAAGAATGAGGGCAGGGTGGGTAGATAAAAGGAGAAATACAGGCAAGGCAGAATTAGAGCCCAATAAATGCTGCAAACTAGTGTACTTGTGCCTCGAATCCTTTTCCTTACCTCCAGATTGTAATTCCATCGAAAATCCTAATATCTTCTCCTTAACCCTAACCCGTTGCAGCCCAGCCACCAAAGGGGTAGGATTCCACATACTGTCATGAATTCACACACACACACTCACACACACGCGCGCGCGCACATGTGCACACATGCATAGACCTAAGCCTTTGGTGCCGTTGAAGAGGATTTAAGCATTTTTAAGATGAAGAACTAAACTTACATTATCTACGGTATGGTAAAAAAAAAAATAATAATAATAATCAAAAGTGCAATAAATAAGAAAAATGAAAAAATCCACTTGTTACAAATGGGCTATAAACACATTTATATTCATAAACTGCGTTCAAATGGTTATGTCATATTAATTAAAATAATAAAAGTAAGAAAATATGCTCAATGCAGAGGTACTTCAAAAAACAAAAGTCAATAAAATATTTTATCTGCATCAAAATATTCTTTGGAAACCAAAAATAAAAGTGTGTCATGTCTGTTCTTTCGCGTTGATCCGGAAAGGCCAGAAAGTCACAGTCCGCGCGGTCTGACTTTCGGAAAACGCAGCGCGCGCAGCGGGCAGGGAGCGCGAGTCTGGGTCTTCGCGGCGGAGCGCGCCCGCCCGTAGGGACACGCAGGTCCAGTCCAGTTTCGGCCGCAGTGAAACCAACGGCCCGACTTCAGTGCAGTGTAGGTAGAGCTCGAAGCTGCGTCCAGACGGTGTTCTGTGGTTTTGTTTTGTTTGGCTTGGTCTTGCTCTTGTTTCTCTCGGAGCTGTAAAGACGCGCGTGGAGAGCCCCGAGGGGAAGGCACGGGCTCCCCGGGCCACGCCCAACATCACCCAAAGCGAAACTTGAGTCTGTATTTCACTGTGTTGGGACTTTTCCGCGGAGCGGACAGGGGCGCCTTTGGCTTGACGTGGCCGGGTGGCTTTTTCTTCTCAGGGACAGTGACTGTGAAGGAAAGTTCTGGCTGCTCCAGCTGCTTGAACCTTGGCAGGAAGTGGGTGGACACGTGCTGGGGCTTGACCCGCGGGCTGCAGCCCCGCTTAGCCTTTCCCCTCTTGTTGAGCGCCACGTACCACTCCCGGCCCGCAGGCTCGCTTCGGTGTATTGCTGAGGCGTAGGTGTTGTAGCTGTTTTCCTGAAACCGCTCCCTGAACTTGCAGTCATCTGTAAACTTGGCCTGGGGGGGGGGGGGGGGAGAAGAAACCGAGGTCGTGACAATATTTCAGCATCTAATAAAATGAGGTGTTCGCGGTAAAAGAAACCCAAAAACTGTTCACCAAAGCTGCCTCCCACGCCCCCCCACCCCCGCCCTGTTCTCTTTTGTAAAGACACGTTTGCTTCTTTCAAAAGGTTGCTTTAAGTGTTTTTTTTTTTAATTATTATTATTTATGATAGTCACAGAGAGAGAGAGAGAGAGAGAGGCAGAGACACAGGCAGAGGGAGAAGCAGGCTCCATGCACCGGGAGCCCGACGTGGGATTCGATTCTGGGTCTCCGGGATCGCGCCCTGGGCCAAAGGCAGGCGCCAAACCGCTGCGCCACACGGGGATCCCCAAAAGGTCGCTTTAAAACACCGTGTTCATTTCTGTCTTCCTACTTGATTCATCCTGGTAATGCTGATTTCGGTTTACCACGTACTTAGTGAAATAGTATCAATGATTATATAAAAATGATAACAGGAACTGTGTTATATTGAAATTCTGTTATGATCCAATCATGAAATGGGCAAAAGACATGAAGAGAAATCTCACAGAGGAAGACATAGACATGGCCAACATGCACATGAGAAAATGCTCTGCATCACTTGCCATCAGGGAAATACAAATCAAAACCACAATGAGATCCCACCTCACACCAGTGAGAATGGGGAAAATTAATAAGGCAGGAAACAACAAATGTTGGAGAGGATGTGGAGAAAAGGGAACCCTCTTACACTGTTGGTGGGAATGTGAACTGGTGCAGCCACTCTGGAAAACTGTGTGGAGGTTCCTCAAAGAATTAAAAATAGACCTGCCCTATGACCCAGCAATTGCACTGTTAGGGATTTACCCCGAAGATTCAGATGCAATGAAACGCCGGGGCACCTGCACCCCGATGTTTCTAGCAGCAATGTCCACAATAGCCAAACTGTGGAAGGAGCCTCGGTGTCCATCGAAAGATGAATGGATAAAGAAGATGTGGTTTATGTATACAATGGAATATTCCTCAGCCATTAGAAACGACAAATACCCACCATTTGCTTCGACGTGGATGGAACTGGAGGGTATTATGCTGAGTGAAGTAAGTCAATCGGAGAAGGACAAACAGTGTATGTTCTCATTCATTTGGGGAATATGAATAATAGTGAAGGGGAATATAAGGGAAGGGAGAAGAAATGTGTGGGAGATATCAGAAAGGGACACAGAACATAAAGACTCCTAACTCTGGGAAACGAACTAGGGGTGGTGGAAGGGGAGGAGGGCGGGGGGTGGGGGTGAATGGGTGACGGGCACGGAGGGGGACACTTGACGGGATGAGCACTGGGTGTTATTCTGTATGTTGGTAAATTGAACACCAATAAAAATTAATTTATAAAAAAATAAAATAAAATAAAATAAAAAAAATAAAAAAAGGAAGTGAATAGGATGCTCTATGTACGTTTAATATAAATATAAAAAACAAGGAGAACATTAAAAATGTAATGTTTCAGTAAAAAAAAAAAGAAATTCTGTTATGGTTTTAAATTACTTTGAGATTGGCAGTAAAAAAAATTAACTTTTAATATGTTAAGATTTTCCCCCCCTCTTAAGCCACGGAGAAAATAAATAGAACTGAATTACTAAGGAACAATTGCCTCGTAAAACAGGAATTCATGTTCAGAGAAATGGGGTCATATTATTCCTTTGAAACAAGAATACGTTTTTCAGTGTTATCATGTGTGATTCATGGTGCTGAGAGAGGGGTAGCATATGGCCCTATTAATACTGCATGTGTTAGAGTTCTTTAGGAAAAAAATACATCTTCACACAGGGATACAGGAGAGAATACTGATGCCAAGAAGAAAAAATTTACTTTTGGAGTCACTAGCAATACCTCATCCAGATCTCTCTCTCTCTCTCTCTCTCTCTCTCCCCCTCTCCCTCTGCAGACACACACACACACACACACACACACACACACACGCAATATCTGCCCTTGAAATGTTCCCAGAACAGTGGAAAAAAAGACAAGTAAACATCCATCACAATGCAGTATGATACAGGGAATTATGACAGCATTATGCAGAGGGTACAATGGTAGCATAGAGGAAGGGAATCTAAGAGGATGGAAGTCACCAGGCAGACGGTAGGGAAATCTCTCTAGAAAAGCTGACATCTGAGCTACGTTTTCAAGTACAAGATACTAGCAAGGCAGGTGACATAAGAAAGTGTTCTCAGAGCGGGAACAGTGTGTCCACAGGTCAGCACGACCCTGCTACAGGTGTTGACTTCCATATAAGATGTGTGGTGGGAGGAAGAAGAAGTAGGGCTGACCAAGTGGGCCAGGAAGGGCTCTGAAAATACGTAGTTTACCATGCTTGCAGTGCTGATGGTTTTCTGTTTTTCTGTTTACTGTGTACTTAGTGAAATAACATCAATGTATATAAAAACAAGAGGAACTTTTAATATATTTGAATTCTGTTACTGTTTTTAAGTTACTTTGAAATTTCTAATTTCATTTTTAACAGACAATTTTGTTGAGGAATTAAAGGAAAATGTATGGAGGAAGAATACGAGCACGGAATCAGACTTACGATTCTGCCAATCAAGGTCTTAGCTTTAGGCTCCTTAACCACATCCTTATCCATAGGGCTCCTGTGAGTACCAAAATATTTTTCTGAGGAAAATATGGGTAGCTTTCATCAAATGCAAAAGAGGCCAAAGCTCCCAAAGAATGAGAATTCCTATCCTAGGCCAGACCACCATGTTTCACAATTTCAAGGAGCACCATTGCCTAGAATTCCCGGGCTTGTGAATACCAAATATGTTGATGTCTACATAGAAAAACGCTAAATATATAGATGATGTCCTTTTCATATCAGACCAAAAGGTACTATCCTGGAATTAAGATTTCTTTTTTTATCTTGGTTTTTCTAATTATGCCAATCTTTTCTCCGCACAACGCTGTCATCTGAAAGTCAGAATGCTGGAAGGCAATCTATGTAAATCTACTGTTGATGTGACTGGTGCAAAGTACTGACAATACTGGTAGACAACCAATTTCAGGGTGCTTCCAACAGCACGTTTACATTATATATGACAGTTTACCCAATTTATTTACATTCAAGTATAGTTCAATCAATAAAGCTCTTTACTTGAAGGCTATGGAGTTATATATATCTAGAACTTCCACAAGTGTACTGGTGATTTGCTGGATTTGATCTCTAGCAGCTGGAAGCGGATGTTTTAAAGAACCACCACCAAAAAAAAAAAAAAAAGAAGAAGAACCACCACCATGGCATTCCTCTCTTCCTACCATACCCTACCAGCCTATGGCTAGGCCAAGGGTGCTGTGCTGACGTCATTATAGTAGAGTATACATTTACTATTCCTATTTTTTATTGAAAAGACTTCCTGTCAAATGTAGATGTTTTTATGGTTGCTTAGGTTTTAAAAGGACTTAAGTGCTCTCCCATTTCATTCAATAATACTAAAGTTTTATTTTAAAATAAAACCTATAGTCATCTGTAATGTTTTCTGCTACATAAAACAATAAGCATTTTAGAAAAGGTATAAGAGGTTTCATCAGAGAGTAGCAGGTATATTTACCCTGCCTCATATTTTTTTTCCTCAAATGTACTTGAAAAATATTTTTAAAGATATATAATACATTATACCTTGACCTGACCTCTACTCTTGTTTTGCAAAAATCCATTTTCCTGAAAAAAGGATAGCAGTGCTTTATTCAGTTTTGACAGGTGTTTTTTTTTTCTTTTTTTAGTATACTGCATTATTTAACCATTTCTTTACTGACACACACACACACACCATGGCAATGTAAACCTATAGCAATTCTATCTTAGAGTCTTCATATGGGTGAAAGTCCACCAACTCCACCTCCTAAAATTATTCCATCTAAAACCTTACTCTTTTCTTCCTTAAGATTTGTGTTCTTAAGTTATTTCTTAAGATTCAGGTTCTAGGGATGCCTGGGTGGCTCAGTGTTTGAGCGTCTGCCTTCAGGTCAAGGCCTGATACCAGGGGTCCTGCAATCGAGTCCCGCATCGGGCTCCCTGTGGGGAGGCTACTTCTCCCTCCGCCTGTGTCTCTGCCTCTCTCTGTGTGTCTCTCATGAATACATAAATTAAATCTTAAAAAAAAAAAGAAATAGATTTTAGCTCTAGATTTTTCAAGGGTCACCTGTTACTAGGGGCAGAGGTGTCCAGAACCTGAGGACCCATGCATTACTGGCAGCCCCGCAGCCTTTCCAGCTCCTTCATTAGAATAGGAGTAAAGGCAGTCAGACTATTTTGGCTTTCTTAATTGACTTCTAAATTAATGTTTTGTCTGAAAAATTTGCCCAGCTGTGATGGAACAGAACTATTTGAAACAATCATTTCAATGAATTTTTTCATCAGGAGATCTAGTTTCTTCTTGAGGGATTGACTGCTTCTGTCACTATTCCTTTTTTTTTTTTTTCTGTCACTATTCCTGGCCTTGTTCAGACAAGATGGTGACTCTAAGCAATGAATTTCTGTCCCTAATATCATGCATGAACCGTTTTTGTAGCAGAGAGTCAGTAAGCAATATAGGTCTTAAATATACAGTTATTTAAATATATATACATTTACCATTACTCAGTTTTGGATAATACATTTTCCAAGCTACTTTTAATTTTTTAAATCTCCTGTGAATTGGGGCATCTGGGTGGCTCAGTTGACTTAGCGTCTGCCCTCTGCTCAGGTCATGATCCCAGAGTCCTGGGATGGAGCCCCATGTCGGGCTCCCTGCTCAGCAAGGAGTCTGCTTCTCCCACTTCCTCTGGCACTCCCTACCCTGCTCATGCTTTTTCTCTCCTCTCTCTCCCAAATAAATAATTAAAATCTTAAAAAATAAAAAAATAAATCTCCTGTGAATTGTAAGAAGTGCTTTGGCAAAATACATATTTTTAAATAATAGAACTACATTATTTTTCTAGAAAAAGTGAGGTTGCCATGAAG